TTTTGTATTTTATACAGAAAATTGGGAAACATCACAGCGTAAGATTGTGTCAAGACAAGAAAACCCATGTATTGCACAACTCACAAAGTGGAACAGCATCATGTTTCTAGTAGTCCATGTTAAATGTGGTTTGAAAGAATCATGTTTTCATGCACACCAAGGGCTTGCTCCTTCTGACCACTAAGTCAGTGATAATTCTCCTGACGACTTCAGTGATGCATGAGCTAGTCCCAAAAGAAGCAAACCAGCCTGTGCGTATGCACCGGGCAGAGAGCCAAGAGATCTCAGTTAAGTTCCTAGCTTTGATACAAACTCCCTGTGCGATTTCTGTTAAATCTCTCTGGGCCTCAGTTACTCATCCGTAATGAGGGGTGATGTCTCTTTGTCTGCTTCCACTGACAGTTCTCAGAATAGTCATCATAGTCTTCCATTCTCCGGCATGCCAAAGACTCATTTTGGTGTAGTTTTTAGGTGTTATTGTAATATAACAAAGAATGACTAATGTGTAGCCTTAATCATCCAAACAACCCTGGAATCAAACAACATCAAACTGACTGCAGTGACTCTTGTAAGCTGCCCCACCCACCCTCTGCAGGATATATATAGCGTGCCAAGCGCATGGCAGGTACTTAAAGCACGTCTTAAGCACCAAACTCATCTGCCGTAGGCTGACCTAGGTATACAACACTGGCCTTTATGTGCATCATAAGTCACAAAGTACATTAGCTGGTTGATTTTCAAGGATCACCTCCTCCACGCTGAAGAATTGTCCATCCTATTGAGCAGGAAGTAAGCAAAAGTGGCAAGAGGCCTGCATGGATGAACAAGGAGGTCCTGACAAAACTCAGATATAAAAAGGAAGCATACAAGAGGCAGAAGCAGGGCCAGGTGACCCAGGAGGAATGACCGACTGTGCAGGGACAGAGTTAGGAAAGGCAAAGCCCATCTGGAATTGAATCTGAAAAAAAAACGTGAAGGGCAGCAAGAAAGGCTTCTACCGAAGTATCAGCAGCAAAAGGAGGAGCAGGGAAAATGTGAACCCCCTACTGAATGCAGCAGGGGACTTGGTGACAAAGGACAAAGAGAGTGTCTAGGAACTCTATGCCTTACTAGTAAGACTTGACTTCAACAATCCCAGGTCCCTGAGACCAGTGGGAAAGCCTGGAGCACAGAAGACTTAGCCGTGGTGGATTGGTTTAGGGAATATTTAAACAAATCGGACATACAAAAGTCCAGAGGAGCTGATGGGCTGCACCCACAAAGGCTGAGGGAGCTGGCCGATGCCATTGCAAGGCCACTCTCAATTATCTTTGAAAGGTTATGGTGATCAAGAAAGGTTCCTGAGGATTGGAAGAAAGACTATGTCACTCCTATCTTCAAAAAGAGAAAGACGGTGGATCTGGGGAACTACAGGCTAGTCAGCCTCACCTTGATCTCTGGGAAGGTGATGGAGTAAATCCTCCGGGAGATCATTTCCAAACATATCAAGGACAAGACAGTGGTTGGGAACAGTCAGCATGGATTTATAAAGGGGAAATCACGCTTGACCAACCTGATACCCTTCTACAATGAAATGGCTAGCTCAGCAAATGCATGGAGAGCAGTGGATGTTGTTTATCATCTTTAGTAAGGCTTTTGACCCCATCACATCCTTGTGGACAGACTGAGGAAGTGGGATAAAGGGATAGTGAGGTGGACAGGAACCTAGCTGAACTGCTAGGCTCAAAGCGATGTGATCAGTGGCAAGGAGACTGGCTGGAGACCAGTCATTAGCAGTGTACCGCAGACACCGATACTCAGGCCAGTACTTCTTCACATTAGCGACCTGGATGACATGCACCCTCAGCAAGGTCGCAGATGATACAAAACTGGGAGGAGTGGTTGATTCACCAGATGGGTTGTGCTGCCCTTCAGAGGGACCTCAAGAGCCTGCAGAACTGGGCAAACAAGAATCTCATGAAGTTCAACAAAAGGAAAAGCAAAGTCCTACCCCCATGTACCAGTACAAGCTGGGATTGATAGGCTAGAGGGCAGCTGTGCAGAGAAGGACCTGGGGGTCCTGGTGGACAACAAGTTACACATGAGCCAGCAATGCACCCTTGTGGCTAGGAAGACAAACAGTACAGATTGTAGCATCTCAAATGCGGAGAGAGGCTGAGAGGGCTGGGACTGTTCAGCTTGGAGAGTCCTGAGCTCCAGTTGAGCCTGCCCTGAGCGGGGCGGGGGGCTGGACCGGACGATTTCCAGAGGTCCCTTCCAAGCTCAACCGTTCTGTGATTCTGTGATTTAGAACATGATAGAGGCTATTATTATTAACAGGCTATATCATGCCACAAACGCATAACTACAGTAATAACAAGAACTGCAGGACTGGCTTTCTGTATCTTGCAGCCTGTTGCAAGGTGGTAAATACTATCAGTTCCAGGCTAGCTGCATTTTAGCAGCCCTCTACTATTTCCTCATAGTTTCAATGCACTTTTTTGCCTCTCAGACCAAGGCAGTATATAAACTACATTATTATTATTTTTTTTAAGCAATCAGGCAGCAGATTTTTAATGTTAGCTCTCTTTCATGCAACTAGCCACGAGAGGGCACCAGTACTGCTTCAGAAAGACAAAACCAAAAACAATAAAGGGAATTTGCTCACAGACTGTAGCTTCAAAGGCATTGGATAGCAGGTTCCACAGTCATAAGTCACCCCTCCACCCCAAACACACACAAAGCCCAAGCATTAGTCAGCTACATGAGTAGATTGCAGAGGAAAAAAATCCACCCAGCTCTCTAGAGCCAACAGAACTGGTACTTTTCCTGCTTCTCCTACAGACTCCCTCTTTGGGCCCAGCACCCCTTTCCTTAAAGTGAATATTCACACAGCTTCTCGTATTGACACTGTCCAGAGCCTCCCTCTGCAGCATCTCTGTCCTACCTCAGGCCTCCCTTACAAGAGCAGTAGTAGTTTCACTGTGGCTCTTGGGAAGTTCATCCCCTCCTCTCTGAGGACTACACCTTTGGCCTAGCTGTTTAGAAATCAGACCTGCTAGCGTCCAAAGGAGAGAACTGGTTCCTGAATATCAGATGAACAGCACTATTTTTCTCAATGCACAAGTCTTCAGCCCTAGCAAGCAATGAGTCTGCTCATTTCATAGTCTATTCAGCGTATGCATACACTTTACAAGGCATTTTTTATTAAAAGCCCAACTCTTGAAAGCTATTGAACATGCACAGACAGATTCCTCTATTTCAGGCTTCCTATCTTCTCAGAAAGTCCGATTATAAATAAACAAAAATTGTATTTGAAAGATCATACAGGAACATGTATTATTTTCATCAACTGAATTTCAACTTTCAAATGGTAGTTTTGAGAGAATTTAGTAGGTAACAGTCTGAGAAGATCATAGCATTACCATAAAACCTCACCATGGTGCAGAACAAAGGCCTCCAATTTTTGGCCTCCAAAAATTTCTCGGTCATCTGCTAAATACCGTCTAGGATACAGACACCTGCACCAAGAGACAGATGCCTGCAGGTGCCCTGCTCAAGAGCAAGTAGAATTACGTATGCACATACAGGCCACTCACAAAGTTAACTTTGCTTACAAAAGAAAAAAAATCTCATTGCTCAAAGATGAGCGGTTAAGCTAAAACTCTTCCTGCATCATTGACTGTGAATACAAAAGGATTGCTCTGTTTTGTTTTGCTCTACGACAACAAAATGCTGTTTTCAACTAGATGTTTCGCCTGAGCTTCTGTGACAGTTGGATTAATTCTGTGCAATTATTCAGTGAAAGTAAATTTATTCTGAGTGCTCTGGTAAATTTCTGGCAGTGATGAGGGATCTCCCAGTCCGGACACGCGCACTGAGAACACCAGGTAGGCCACAAATAGGGTCAAATTAATGTAATTCAACCTGTAATTGTAGATAGAGCAGGAGACTAAGAGGGCTGATAGGCTTTCTTAGCATTGTAGTAACAGCCTTACAGTCTAAACTCAATGAACTTTTTTTCATCTTTTAAATCGCTTTTTCCTCTGCTGTATTTGTAAAGGCACATGTCAGAAAAACAGAGCAAAGAGGAGTTCTAACAAGTAGGTATTCATTCGAAAAGAAAATTAATTGATGAATCATTCTTCAATGAAACGTGCATGAAATAAGGCTATTTTCTTCATTATAGGGTGCTATAAAATCATAAGTTTGTTTAATTCTTGTACAACATGCATGTAGCAGTGCACTTGAGAAATTCTTGAAGTACAGAAATTATTTTTAATGTAGTTATCAGGCCAAAGAGGAAAAAAATGTACTGATTTTAATTCAGCATTTGTTCCTAGTTCCAAGTGAGATACCCAAAATAAGAATGAGCTACTTGAAAACGTACAAAGCCATAACAACATAACACCTGAAGTACTACAAAATCTAGTTCTAGAACAGAAATACAGGCACCTTGCAAAAGCACATGCTTATTCCCATGGGGTTAATACCTCAGCTGCAGAAACCAATGAGCTACCTAACAGCCCATTTTTTCTGTTCTGCTTGCACTCTTCAGCGCCGAAGGAAGGGGTTTTAGCGACTGCAAACGACCGCTTTACTCTTGCAGTGCTGAAGGAGTTAATTTTAGTCTGCAATAATTAACACCGCCCCAGCAGTGAAAGCAGGTGCTGTCTCTCAAGGCCCTGACCAGGAGGAGATAATTCCAGACCACAATAATTAACAGTGCCCCAGCAGTGAGAGGAGGCTTCATTTCTCACAGTCCTGATGCCCAAGCAGGCCTTATCTCAAGGTCTTGAGATCCTCCCTTTGGGAATGTGAGGCACAGGAAAGCAGACTACTTGTAACTGGCACTAGATGGGCAGGGGGATGGGGGGGGGGAAGCTTGGAGCATCGCCCCACAGTCCCTTTGGATCAGCCTAGGCAACAAATTTCCCCACACCTACTTCGTATATATACAAATACTTGTATATATACAAGGGTGGGGGCAATACTTGACAATTCTGCTTCTGTTTTATCAGGTGGGAACTTAGAGAACACTTGACAGTGAAGAAACTAATAGTGATGACAACTCACATTTTAAGACTATGGTATATGCTTGCGCTCGTAACATTTCCAAATACAGCTGAGGATTTGAAGTTCACAAAGAATAATCCAAGCTCCTTCTATTACGGCACTTTTCCAACTGGTACTTTTCATCTACAGTTATTCATGGTTTTTACAATGCTCTAGATCCACTTGTGCGTTTTCACAAGAAAGCTACCAAAAGGTTCTCCTTCTGAAGAAAGGCGTTGGCACAGCAGGCATCTCCTTCCAGGGAAAAGGCTGAAGCAAAAAGCCAGGCCTTTGCCGAATGCCTATTTAATACTATCTACTGCACCTAGCTATGCAGCATAAGGATTCACATAAAGCCTGCACTTTTTGTAGGCATTTACAATAGTAAACTTAGAGTAAAATGCTAACAGATTAATGTTTCATATCCAGAATTTCCTTCCGTGTCTGTTTGTGATTGAATAGGATGAATGGCATAATAAAACACATCCAAAAACTCTTCACCTCTTTGATAAATTATCTGCAACTTACGAAGAACAACAAAGGAAAAAATATCCTCTTTTGTTATGTTAGTATATCTAATTCACTATTTAGTACTGCTTTATGAAACCTTGTTCATTCTTCCAAACACACACACATACAGCCCTTGTTTTATTCAACCTAAAACAAAACTTAAAAAGATACAGGCACAAAGATGTCTTTATGCTAAAGTTTCTAAGTGACTTATGCAATGGATTAATCATGTCCTTTAGTAACATACTAAGAAAATAGCCAGAATCTTTATATTACTCTCTCTCTCTCTATATATATATATGTATATGTATATATAAAATATACATATTATGTGACAACAGCTAAACTTGTAATTAAAAAAATTAAAGAATAGCATGCCAAAATAACATAGAAACCTATTTTTTTCTAGCAGTAAGCCATTTATGCCACTTTATCAATACACTACTTCATATGGGGCAGTATCCACTGTTAAGATAGTATTAACAAGCTTTAGTATAGGTAAGAATTAGATCCCTTTTTCAGTATATTGGAAAAGGGTCCCTTATTTAGTTTGTACCTCATTTTCACAGAGTCTCTGTTATGTACCTATAACGTTTCATGTGGAAAACATTTGCCTCAGGTATTAGGTAGGCATGCAATCATGCAGGTTTCACACCGAGCTGCAGAGCTGTGAAGACATATCAATTACTTTCTCATACGAAAATTTGGTACAAAAGACTAGTTGTGCATTAATATGTTTAAATTATAACTTCCTTCTTTTTACCCTTAGGTTTTTTATGAGGTGCTGGAAGTCCTGCATACCAGACTGAAGGGGCCTGGGACAAGGATGGGAAAGGATCAAGTATCCGGGATGCTGTTACTCACAAGAAAGGAAGTGTTTAGGAATGAAATAGCAGATTCAGCATGTGATAGCTAATACAAAGTTACGGTATCATTAAAGAGGAACTATCCCTCTAGAAGCATTCTAGAGCCATTTTACAATACTGATTTCCCATTGTGAAATAACAGCAAAGGTGACATGCTTTGGTTGCTCTACAGACAGAGTCCTACTTCAATTTAGGAAGCCACAGGCTGATATTTTCAAATAGTTTCTTTCCTGATAATCTCATAGACTCAAAATCACCAAAATACTTCCTAAATCTGCCTTCGCTTTCTAGAATGTTTATGTCCAAATAAATATTCTAAAATACTCCAATACTTCCAATTTTATGGAAGGTCCAAATGCTTAATTTTTACAACAAAAAATGTACTTGAGCTTTGAATAAAATGAAGTGCTTTTTTTTTTTGTCTGAGCATCTTAAAAGATTTTCTATGTATACTTTAGAAAAAGTAAGTAAAACCAATCAGATGCTTTGAAAATCTATGACTTTTTTTTCATTTTTTGGAACGGACAATGAATAAATTAATATAGCTCTATTAGCAATAAGTTTCCAAGCTTAAAATTATCAAAATTTCAGAACTACTGTCCTAGAGGAAAGACAGATGCACAGCTAAAGGGATGACTGTGATAAGCCAACACTATATAATTGGAATTCTAACTAATATAACTAGCAGTTATAGTCCACTGGAGGTTTTCCACATATATGAAATCCAAGGGAGAAGCAGAGGTCTCAGGAAGAATTAAGAGGAAAAACACCTAAAACCTTAAAATGGAAAAAACGGAGGAAAGATTTCATTTGACTTCTCTCAAGCAAGTAAAAGTTTGAAAGAGCAGCTTAACAAAAATCCAGGGAGAGATTGGAACTCTAAGGCTCAGAGGTCTGTTGCATCAGAAGAGACTGATATGGCAAGCATAGGACCTGTTTCTCAGAAAGGATTCAGGCATAAATCATAGTATTTTGAAATTTACTCACCACTGTGGGCTTGTATTTCTAAAATTTGCTTGTATATGTTATCTATGTGGTCATTATAGAAAAACACTCTTCCTCTATTAGCTTTCATCAATCAGGATTCATTTTGCATTGGCTTATATGCCATAACTTTCTATTTTCATTTAATATTGAAGATCTGAGCATATGTTTGCTTAGAAAAAGAACAACATACATTAATACTGAATTCAATTTTGGAGCTAATTCCAGTATGAGACAGTAAATGAGAAAGCCTGTGTCATAATGATTTTGTGCCTAAGTATTAAGTGACTTGAAGCACAAGTGCTTTTTCTTTTTCTTTTTTTTACTGTCGTGGCTGGAATTGTTTTTACAGCACAGTCTTTGTTAAGAGATCTAACTGAATAGGCACGTTAGTGTTTCAGTGCCCCTCTGTAAACATTTGATTTAACACAAAGTATTTTTCCAGAGAAAATATGTTTTCCCATAGCAATTCTAGTCAAGACCTCGGACTAGGCAAACGGCGGTTTAGTCGCCCATAAATTTTACATATGACTCTGGTATTTGTTGAAAGCGTCTGCAGTCAAACACGCTGTCTTAGTGGAAAAATATTTGAAGTGAAGATGGGATGTCTAGTGGGTATTCCTCTAGTAAAGGATAAGTGAATCAAAGTTAAAACTGAAAGTACTATTATTTAGTACGTTATTTCCTGCT